CCCTCAAGAAAACCCCGAGACGGCCCAAAAGGGCCCCGAGACGGCCCCCAAGACGGCAGGAGGAGGAGGAGGAGGAGGAGGAGGAGGAGGAGGAGGAGGAGGAGGAGGAGGGGGAGGGGGAGGAGGAGGAGTTGGAGGAGGAGGAGGAGGAGGAGGAGGAGGAGAAGGAGTTGGATGAGGAGGAGGAGGAGGAGGAGCAGGAGGAGGAGGAGGAAGAGGCCCCAAGAGAGCCCCGAGAAGGGGGAGCACGAGCCGACGGAGTCGAGCCCTCCGCCCCAGGACAACCCCAGAGGCCGCCAGCGGTCCCCCAGAAGGCCCCCCAGCTCGTCGTCGTCGTCGTCGTCGTCGTCGTCGTCGTCGTCGTCGTCGTCGTCGTCGTCGTCGTCGTCGTCGTCATCGCCGTCGTCGTGCTCGAATCCATCGTGGTCGCCGTTGTGGTCGTCGGCCCCCAACAGGCCCAACTCAGGCCCCAAGAGGCCCCCGAGGGGCCCCCGAGGGGCCCCCAAGACAGCTGCAGACCGCCTCCAAGAGGCTTCGAGATGGCCCACCAAAAAGAGATCCCCACTTGCATCCAAGAGGCCTCTGACACACCGCCGCTTGCGAAGCAAGAGCGCCCGTGCTGGGTCCCGGCACCAAGACATCAAGACGCGCCCCCTTCGCCCTCGCATTTCCAGGCTGACGGGAGGCGACCGGCCCCTTGCAGGTGTGGGCGCTTATTTCGCAGCGCCTCGCACTCCCCTCTGGCGAGGTCGCCCGCCAACTTTGAGATACGGGCCCTTTGAGCATTTCGAGTGGCGGGCGCTTGTTTTGCAGACGGCGTTGCAACCCAGGCATAATCAAGAGGCAAACGAACCTACCTCGCGTTTGGCCACCCTCGCTTCCAAACGGGAGCCAAACGATACCAAACGACCCGTGGGGTGGCCCGCAACGGTCAGGCTGCTAGACGAGGAGGCGCGTGGTATGACTGCTTCTGCCTGGAAGCGACAGCGGGGTAGGTACTTCACCCTGTGAGCAGTGGCGGGAGGGGTCGAAGGCCACAGGATCCGCCGCTCCCTGCTGGCCTGCCAGATGTGCGGCACGTCCGAACTCATGTGTGCTAAAAAGGCCCCCTGGGGCCTTCGGCCCAACCCCTGGGCCACCCAGAAGGGCGCGGCAAGAGGGAACAAGAACCGAAAACCCGCCTCCACGAGGACCCGACGAACGAACGCCGAACGAACCACCACTGCGGACGGCTGTCCGGGCCTGCCGACGAACGAACGACCCGCCGACGACCCGCTGTCCGGGCGGACCACTGCGAACCACCCGACGAACGACGAACGAACCCGCCTCCACGAGGACCCGTACACTTCCCAGGTCGCCACCATCCTCCCGCTCTAGGCGGCCCTGAGATGGCCTCCCAAGACGGCCAGGATGGTTTCCAGGTGGTTTCCAAGACGGCTGCGATGGCCCCGATAGGACCCAAGAGGGCCACAGGATGTCTCCCAGACGGGCCGGGGTGCCCCCAGGATGGGCCAAGATAGCCTCGAGATCGCCCAAGGCGGCACATGGGGCCTCCAAGACGGCGCAAGAGGCCTCCAAGAGGACTTCCTGGAAGGTCCGCAGAAGTCGAAATCCTACATTTGCTGTTGGTGCTTGAAGGATTTGGGCGTTAGCACACATTCGGCTTTCCGACGTTCCAACACGACCCGAGAAGCCACCCAGATGGTCCCAAGAGCGCGTGACCCCCTGACGGCCCAAGAGACCCTCAAGATGGCCCCAAGAGGGCCTCAAGACGGCCCACGAGACCTCCAAGACGCCTAATATGGTCTCCAACAGGCCCGAAGCGCTCCAAAACAGCCCCAAATCGGCCCAGGGAGGCCCCCAAGACGGCGTCCGACAGCGCCAGGCGGGCCAGGAACGCCCTCAGACGGCGAGAGAGCCTCCTGAGGAGCATCGAGATGCCCCCAAGACGCACAAGAAGCCCCCTAGAGGCCTCCCAGAGGCCCCCAGGAAGCTCTAAGGAGGCCCCAAGAGTGCCCCAAGAGGCTCCCAAGAGGCCTCCTCCTCATCCTCCTTCTCCTCCTCCTCCTCCTCTTCTTCTCCCCCACGTGTTCCCCGAGGAGTTCCACAACGGCTGGGGGGAACACGTAGTCCGATAGCTAAGCCGAACTCTAGCCGCAACGCTCGGCCAGACAGGCGTTTCCGAAAAACAGTGAGCGGCGGTGATTCGCCGTGGGCGTCCCCGATTGCCCTTGCTCGCCGCCACGGGCCGATGCTGGTCGTTTCGTGCTGCTATCTAATGCGACCTGGCGCTGCTGCGCACTGCTGCTTGGTGCTCGGTTGACGGCGCGTACCTACTACGGTCAGGAACTTTCGGAAACATCCCCAGGACGGAAGTGTTTTCCTCTTGGGCCTGGACATGATGGCTTCAGCTCTTGCACTGGCGCGCATGAGGGAAACCATGGTGCATCCAATGAAGCTGGTGCGGATCCGAATTCGGTTTGGATTCGTCCTGCGGCGGATCCGATTGCCGTCCGCGCGGATTCGATGTCAGATCTTGTGGATGTGATTGGTGTAATGTTTTCACGCGGATCCACTGTGCACCCTGATTGTACGATTTTTCCATGAAATCAGATCAGGGTACCGAGGCATATCGGATCCGCGGCACCCGGGCACGCCGCTGGGGAGATGGGGGGATGGGGGGATCCGGTCACGAGCTGCCACAGAGAGGTCGCGCGTTGCCTCACGGACCCCATCAACCCTCACCGCGCCCGGGACGAGCACAACATGAATGCATCTCTCCTCGCCAACAAAAAGTCATCGCCGCTGGAATCTCAAGAAGAACATCTTTCGTCCTGCGTGAGTAGTGTGCCGCGACGGCGGCCCCGGCGACACGCTATGCCTTGCGAGTGGATGGCGTGTCGTTCCGCTCTGCGGGGCGGGAGGCTCGGAACAAAAAAAAAGGGACGTTGGCGTCTGGGGACTACGGACTAGGGCATGGATAGTGTGGTGGGCGGAGCGACACGTTAAGCTACAGTTCCTGAACGCACCTTCGTGCTGCTAATTGCTGCCGCTGCTGCGTACTGCTGGTAATACTAATCGCTGCTTGGTATAGTTGCTTGTTGTAGCTACAAGGTGCCGATTATTGCAAATTGTGCTGCTGTGCTTCCTTTTGATGTGTGCTGCGTGCTGCTGCTCTTCGATGCCGGTCCTTATCGCTACTTCCGCTTGCCAACGCAACCTGCCGCTCGCGAGAGGAGCGAGGAGCGAGGAGCGAGGAGTCAGGACCGAGGAGAGAGGATGGGGAAGCGAGGAACAATCAGCGAGGAGCGAGAAGGGAGGAGCGACGCCCGAGAAGAGATGAGCGAGGAGGGAGGGAGAGCTGACAAGGGAGGAGGGGGAAGGGAGATGGGAGTGGCCAAGAGGGGGGAGCGAGGAGGAGCGAGAAGCGAGGAGCGAGGAGCAAGGAGAGAGGGGCGAGGAGCGAGGAACATGGAGCGAGGAGCAGGGGACGAGAGGCGAGGAGGGTAGCCCGGGACGCCACGCTCGTCCTCTCTTGATGCCCCCAGAGGCCCCTCGCAGGGCTGTGCCGGAGCCTGCCGAGGCTCTCGTGTTAAGCCGGGCATATCCCTCTACGGGAGGAAAACTCAAAAATGGTCCAAGCATAATCTGTGGGCGACTTTTCGGCCACCTTTGATTATTTAATTTTCTGTTGGCTATGTTTCATTTTCCCTCCGCAATCCGCCTGCAGGAGGACATGCCCGAACTGACTCTCGTGGGGGCCCTCCCTGGGCGCTGCGGCCCAGGGCCTCGCGCTGCTCCCGCGGGGGGGCTGGACGTCCGTCTGCGGGGGCGATCCAGGGGCCGCCCAGGGGCGCCTTGGGGCGATCCCGGGGCGACCTTTGCTGGGGGCGCGCGCAAGGGGGCAGGGGCAGGGGGGAAGGCTTCTTAGAAGGAGGTTGCTGCTTCTTCGAAGGCGCCGGCCCTACACCTGTAAGCAAGGCCCGCGCCTTCTAAGAAGCAGGGGTGCCTCTAAGAAGCCTTCCCCCCTCCCCCTACCCCCCTCTGCGCGTGGCCGACTTTGGCTGTGTTGGGTGTCGGGGGGCTCTCTGTGAAGGTCTTCGCCCATCCTGCGGCCGTCTTCGGGCCAGGGTGCCCTTTTCCTCCCGCTTTTGACGCGGGTCCCCACGCAACCGAAATCGCCAGCGTGCCTGCGAGCCGAACGCCTCGAGACGAGCAGCCGACCACCTCGAAGAGATACGCTGCAGCGGCCTTAAAAAACCTCTTCGAATGTCCTACCGGCCTGACTCTCGGCAGTCTTGGGGCGACCTCTGACTGTCTTGTGCGTTGGGAGCCTCATGTGTCGTTCTTCGCCAGCGGCCTTGAAGCGCCTCTTCGAATGTTGTTCTGGCCTGACTCGCGGCAGTCTTGGGACGACCTCTGACTGTCTTGTGCGTTGGGGACCTCTTGTGTCGTTGTTCGCCCGTCTCGGGGCCGTCTTCGAGTCCATCGGGCCCTCCGGAGGGTCGAAAGCCCCCCAGTGAGGCACCCAAGACAATCCAGGAGGCCCCAAGAAGGCCCGAAATGGGCACGAAGACGTCCCGAAATGATCCGAAGACGATCCGATCCGAAATGATTTGAGCTTTCTGACGCCGAGAATATCCGGAATCCAAGAACATGTGATTGCCTCAACTCGTTTGTGTGCTTAGCTTCCCAGAAATGTACTGGACTGTTCCTAAGAGGCCTCTTGGAGCCTGTGTGGTCCTGTTGGGGGGCCCCTTGGAGCCGCTTGGATCCTCGTGGGATCCTCTCGGGCCGCTCTCGGAGCCAACTTTCGTCAGATCGGGCCCTCTCGAAGGCTACCTTGCGCCATCTTGGCGCCAACCTGGCAGCATCTTGGCGCCCTCTTGGAGCGCATGGGAGCTCACTGGGCCTCCAGGAGCCGAAAGAAGAGGCACGAACAACCAGGTGATGCACGAGTCCTTTTTGCACGCACGGGGCCTAGCAGTCTCGGAGAGAAGGACACGTCGGGCTCCAACTTCGCCTCCCGCATCTCGCTTAGAAGCGCCAGCGCCCGCTGCCACTGCTTGCCTTTCTCGCAAGCGCTCATCCCAGCAGTGCAGCTGATGACTTCGGGTTTCAACATTCTTCCTGTCATCTCGCGCAAGAGCGACAGTGCCCTTGGCCACTGCCTCGTCTTCCCGCAGGCGCTGACCATGGCAGTGTATTGGCCTCTGCCCAATTCCACACGCAGCTGAGACACCTCGCGGATCCACTGCAGCGCCGCGCTCCATTCCCGCGCCCTCCCACCATGGTCCGCCACTCGGCCCTCGAGGCACGAATTGGAGTGTCCTCGTGTCCTCTGCCCAGCTCCTCAAGCCTCAGTCCTTCATCCTTTCTTTCGTTCGCTCGCTGCCAGGCCTCGGGAGACCGCAGTATACAGAATCCGTGTGACCAGCCAGGGAGTTCATGCGTGCATGTAGGACCACATCGGGTTCTGGTCCTGTGGAAGGCGTACGAGACCGTGCACAGCGCAGAAATGAACCAGGCTACCCCCTCTCGGTAACGCAGTTAATCGGGGCACACATACATGGATTAGCGATCCCTGGATTTGGCGCGCGGTCGCCAAATCCATGGATCCTGGGAGGTGCCCTCCCCAAAATGCGGCGGGTGCCGCCTCGCTCGGCGGCGGAAATCCGCGATTCCCCATGGAAACGGGACCCGTCGCTAATCCACGCCCCCCTTGATCCATGTTTGCGATCGTCTGAACGCAGTGAGGCAAGCCACAGCCATCTCAATCCCCCCGGCGTCCCTCATCCCGAGGGTTCTTTCGGGAGCCCAGGCCCCACAGGCGCAGATCTCCTGAGGCTCTCGGCGCGCCCCCTCCGCACGGCTCTTGCGGTGCCCCCCCCCCGCCCTCCGCGTCTTCCCGCGCAGCCTGCTCGGGCTCGAGGGGGCCCCAAGACGGGCGAAGAGGGTTCCAGGGGGCTTCCCAGACTGGCCATCGCTCGGACGTCCATTTCCTATGTTTTTTTCGGTGTCGTGCGTGGTTTTTGTCGCCAAATATGCTCCTCGATGGTCCTCGCCGAAGGAAAAATGCACACGTCCGAGCGGTGCCAAGCAGACGGTCCAAGAGGGCCCCGACTCGCCGAACAGTCGGTCCAAGACGCCCCGGATGATGGCCTCCCGTCGGCCGAACGAGCGCCCGGGACGTCCCAAGAGGCCTCCAAGGGCACCCCCACCAGGGCCCCGAGAGTCGCCCAACTCATTGATGTTCTTTGGGCTTGAGAAGGACGTTGGCGTTCTCGCCCGTTCGTCTTCGCGACGCTCCAAGGCGGCCTAGGAGGCCACCAAGATCGCCCAAAGAGGGCCCAAGGGGCATCCGAGAGGGCCCGAAATGGCCCACGAGGGCCCCGAGACTGCCTGAGCGGCCTCCACTCGCCATCGCTCGGACGTCCCTTTCCTGTGTTTTTTTCGGATTCGTGCGTGGTTTTTTCGCCAAATGATCAAGGATGCTCCTCGATGGTCCTCGCCGAGAAAAAATGCACACGTCCGAGCGATGCCAGGTCCAAGACAGCCCAAGAGGCCCTCAAGGCGGCTCCAAGAGGGGGCCCAGACACCCGAATGGACATTTCGAGCCCTCGGCCCAGAGAAGCCTGCAGGAGGCCCCAAGAGGCCCCAAAGAGTCCCCCAGGCCCCAAGAGGCCAGAAGGAGGCACCCAAGAGGCCTCAACACTGACCCCCCCCCAGAGCCTTCCGAAGAGACCCCTAAGAGGCATCCCTGAAAAGTCTGACCCAGAACCCAAGCGCGGTGGCGGGATGGGCCGAAGGCCATTCGATTGAAAGCCGCTCCAGGCGAAGAAACACTACACCGGGCTCCTCGCCAGGCGTCCAGCATACAATCCCACCCGCCCTCTGGGCGTAGGCGGTGTAAAGGGCTCCTCTTCCAACCTCCGTGTTCCCCTTCGGGAATGGAGTTCGTCACTGCTCATATGAATAAGCATCCCCCCTCCACTCGACCAGCCGCCAACCAGAAAGCATGCAGGCCCCCCCACCCATCCCTGCCAACAAAAAATCTATAAAGTGCACGCGGCCGCAAAATCTGGATCGTGAGAGGGCACCTCGCGATCACGTTACGATGGTTTTTGACTGGGGTGGCGGGGTGGATCATGTGGCCGCTGTGCACAAGCCCACTTTCCGTATCGAAGCAGCCACGCAAACTGATTGCGGGTGCATACACACACATCATATGCACACCATTATGACCGCCCCGCCACAACTTTGGAGTGACTTTTGACATGGACGGTAGGTGGGACCGATGTGTGCTGCCACGTGCGCTGATGCCCCTGACACCGCCGGGCGAACCAGGCGCGCTTGGCAAGCTTGGGCCCTTGGGTCACCTGGTGCACCTGATGCGCGTGTCGCACCTGGCACGCGTGGCGCAGCTCGCGAGCGTCGTGTATCTGGTGTCCGTATTGTTTCCCAATTGTTGTCCGTCCGATGGCAACCTCTGGTTATGCTGAATACCGCTTGGCACTTATATGGTGAAAGGGCGGGTGGTAATAGGCGAAGCGGCTTGTGGCGTTCCGTTGGGAATATGACCCCTCCACTACGCCCCTCCTGCGAGGCATTGGAGCGTCCAAGATGGCAAACACCAACAGCTGTTCAGTGGTGTGTGTGTGTGTGTGTGCATTCTCGCCTTTTCGCGTGCGAAAGGCACCTGAGACCTCAAGATGGCTCCAATATCGACACAGAGAACCCCAAGGGAGCCCCAAGAGTGGCACACGAGTGTTCCAAGACGCCCTCGGAGGCCCGTCAAGAGCGCAGAGAGAGAGAGAGAGGGAGAGTTCCAAGAGACAACTTCTCGTGCTCCAGAAGGGGCAGCGCCGCTGCCTTTGGATGGCCCCAGAAAGAGGACCTGAGAGGTCCCAAAGAGGGCAGCATACGCACAGGATTTAGAGAACCTCGAGGGTGCTCTTGAGGTCAAACGAGCAAGGCCCTCTTGAAGTGAGCAAGGCCCTCTTGGAATTCCCACACCAAAGGCCACGTCGGCGCGGCCAGCGGCGCGGGTCCAGAATCAATTGCGACCTCGGCCGCGCTCCCGGAGCCACGACGCACTGCGAATTACGGAGGGCCCTCGCCCCCAAGGGAGCAACCTCTGGCACACAACGAGGGATCCCCCTGCCCAAACCACTGCCCCTCGCTCCTCCTAGGAGCACCGTGGAGGCGGCCAAGGGCGCGCGCCCAACATGACGGACACGGAACCGGGCCCACAGCGCCGACGCCAGGCCAAGGCGCCCTCCAATATGCTCCCTGCAAAACTGGGACCTGGCCACGCCCTCGATGAGCCAAGATCTGCCGAAAACCGACAAACCAGAAATCGCCTGCGGATGCTTTCCCGGTGGCAAGGGCATGCTCGTCGTCGTCGTCCTCCCCTCCTCCTTTTCCTCCTACCCCCCTGCTCCTCCTCCTCCTCCTCCTCCTCCTCCTCCTCCTCCTCCTCCTCCTCCTCCCCCTCCTCCTCCTCCTCCTCCTCCTCCTCCTCCTCCTCCTCCTCCTCCTCTCCTCCTCCCCTCCTCCTCCTCCTCCTCCTCCTCCTCCTCCTTCTCCTCCTCACCCCCTTACTAATTACCCAAAAGGTCATACATACACACTCCTTCCTGAAAAAAACAGACTCTACCCACCCTTCCCCCCCGGGATTATCGGCCTCCCTTCCGTATTGGAGTTTACATATGATTCTGGCCCATCGCCCATTCTGAATATAAATTCATACCATACCAGCCAAGCCGGTATCGACCCCCCCACCCCGCCATCCTCTGCAGAAGCTCATATGCGCTCACACTCGTTTATCAAAAATCAACGGTTGTCAAGAACCCTCGCAACAAATGCATTTAAGTGCACACGCGCGCGTCGTCGCGCGCGCATGCCGAGGCCCTTCAAAACCTTTCGGTGTTGTCAGGATTTCAAAATCGAGTGTCCAAACAATCTATAAAAATACCAAGGTCTCGCAACACGAAATTCCAAAACAAAACTTGCGCGCGCACTCTTGCGAATTCTCAAGAAAACCGTCGGCTTCGTCAAGAATTTCAGAACATGCTACCAAACGGGCTTCGCGTGCGCATGTCGACATCGTTTGAACGCCTTTGCGCGCGTGCTGTGGTGGCACGATTCGGGTCAAAAAATACACTGCGGGCCACTCTCTCGCGTCTGCCGCGCGCGCATTTCGAACTCCTTCCAAAACCTTCATCACCGACGCGAAGACGCTGTCATCGTCGCCGGCGTGATCAGCATCGGCGCCGTCCCTGACTGCCCCGTCGTCGCTGTCAGCATCGTCACCAGCATCGCTACTATCATCATCGTGTCTACTGTTGTCGACGTTGCCATGATACCGCGCCGGCCCAAGTCGCCGATTCGCACTGAAGTGCCCGCTGGGATATGCCGAACGGTCAGCGCCACCGCGTTAGCGTCGGTCCCGCCAAACTAGCTGGCCGCTGCACGCGCGAGCATGCGCGGGCAAGCGCGGTCGCAGAGATGCACCAGCCAACACCCAGCACTCACCGCAATTGCTTCCGCATGGGTTTTGCAAACCAAGTTGTGGGTGGGTGGGTGGGCTGATTGCGCGAACAGTGGAGTTGACAACTTCAAGTTCGGCAACACATAGGTTGCGACACATGGATTGCGCCACATAGACTGCACAACATATATTCTTCTCAATAAAAAACAGGATCTACCCCCTCCCGGCGTTATCAGCCCCCTTTTCGGGTATGTAAATCATACGAGGATGACCCCATGTCCATGCTAAGTATAAATTTACGCTATCCCGGAGGGGCCTGGATCGGTCCCCCTGAGGTTCCCCGGTAAAAAACGATACGCGGGGACATCTTTTGTTCTAATATAAGACTTGTTCACGAATCCCTTGCGAAAAATGGGACGAAGTGCACGCGCGCGCGTCGTCGCGCGCGCATGCCGAAATCCTTCAAAAACCGTCGGTGCTGGAAGGATTTCGCAATCGAGTTACCAAAAAATACAAAAACACAGGGTTTCGCAACACTGGTTTGCTAAAAAAGCTTACGCGCGAGCTCTTGCGAAATCTTACGAAAACCATAGGTTTTTCAAGATTTTCCCAACATGCTACCAAACGGGCTTCGCGCGCGCATGTCGAAATCTGTCGAACGCCCTTGCGCGTGTGCCGTCGCGAGAATCCTCTGCCAAAAAAGGGACGATGTGCAGACGCGCGCGCGTCGTCGCGCGCGTATACCGAAATCCTTCAAAACCCATCGGTTTCGGACGGATTTCAAAATCGCGTCTAATAAACCTACAGAAACACAAGGTTTCGCAACACGGGTGTTCAACAAAAACGTGCGCGCGCGCTCTCTTGCGTCGTCGTCGTCGTCGTCGCCGTCCTCCCTCCTCCCGCGTTGTCGTCGTCATCGTCGCCTACGTCGTCCTCTGTCTTTCCTCGTGTTCGTCGTCGTCGTCCTCTTTGGCGTCGTGGTCGTTTCCGTCGTCGTTGTCGCCGTGGTCGTCCTTCCTCCTCCTCCCGCGTCGTCGTCGTCGTCCGTCGTCGGCGTCTCGTCGTCGTCCCTCCTATTTCGTCGCCGTCGTCGTCGTCGTCGTCGTTGTCGTCGTCGTCGTCGTCTTCCCTCCTCCCTCGTCGTTGTCGTCGTCGGCGTCGCCGTCCTTCCTCCTTCTTCGTCGTTCGCGTCGTCGCCGTCCTCCCTCCTCCCTCGTCGTTGTCGTCGATGTCGTCGTTGTCGCCGTCGTCGTCCTCCCTCCTTCCTCGTCGTCGTCTTCGTTGGCGACGTCGTCGTCGTCTTCGTCGTCGGCGTCGGCGTCGTCGTCTTCGTCGTCGTCGACGTCGGCGTCGTCGTCGTCGCCGCCGTCGTCGTCGTCGTCGTCGTCGGCGGCGTCGTTGACGTCGTCGTCGTCGTCGGTGTCGTCGTTGTCGTCGTCGTCAGCGTCGTCATCGCCGTCGTCGTTGTCATCGTCGTCGTCGTCGGCGTCGTCGTCGTCGGTGTCGTCGTCGTCGTCGTCGTCGTTGTCGGCGTCGAAGTCGTTGGAGACGTCGTCTGTGTCGTCGCCCAGCTGGGGTGTGCCCAGCAGTCAGCGCCACCGCGGCCGCGTCGGTCGCGCCAAACTAGCTGGCCGCTGCGCGCGCGCTTGGGTTGGCGCGGCCGCAGAGATGGGCCAGCTCACTCCAAACAGTCATCGCAATCGTCACCACATGGGTTTTGCAAGCCAAGTTGCGGGTGGGTGGGTGGGATGTTTGCAAGAGCGTGGGATGTGTCAATTCGTTTGGTAAAATCAATTGCACCACATAGACTGCCACACACTTAGTGCACCACATAGATTGCACAGCAAGATTGCACCACCAAGATTGCACCACATATATTGCACCACATAGGTTGCACAACATACATTGCATCATAGTGATTGCACCACAAAGATTGCACCACGTAGATAGCTCCACATAGATTGCACCTCGTATACTTACCCACATAGATTGCACCACAAAGATTGCACCACATGGATTGTAACACATGGATTGCACCACATATATTGCACCACATACGTTGGCCATCATGCATTGCATCACATAGCTTGCACCCACATAGATTGCACCACATATATTGCACCACATTTGTTGTTCCTGCTTACGTGTATATAAATTCCATCACACATATTGCATCACATATGTTGCACCATAGATGTTCACAACATAGTTTGCACATCGTGGGATGCACAACGTATAGTGCACATCCTATATCGCACTACCTATGTTACACCAAGAATGATGTCCCACATAGATAGCACCACATCGATTGCTACAAGCACACAGTTTGTGGTCCACGCAGGCTGATACAGTAACGAAAAGTGAACTTCTGTTCTCCGCAATGATTATTAATCATAAGAATTTACCAGGGTGAGGGGGCCGAGCGGTCTTACAATGTCCCTGGGTGCGTGGCTAAGGTGGGCTGCCGCGGCGCAGCTTTTTATTGTTTGCTGCTACTGTCGTCGTCCTCGCCCGCGGCTCACGCACGACCCTCCCGCGACCCTCCAACGACCAACCCGCGACCCGCCAGCGTCCGCTGGCGATCCACCTGCGACCCACCCACGCAGCTCTGACGAAACAAAATGTGCGCCTACGGCGCGCTCGTTGTGCAGTGTGCACACAGGCGCGTGCGGCGGGCTTCTTTCGAGCCTCGCAGGCTGTCGACGACATCTCCCCGCCCCCATCACTCTTACACGCAACAGCGGGGTCTGTGGTTACTCCTCCGCCTCGACCTCCTCCACCTCCTCCTCCTCCTCCTCCTACTCCTCCTCCCCCTCCTCCTCCTCCTCCTCCTCCTGCTCCTCCTCCTCCTCCTCCTCCTCCTCTTCCTCCCCCCGCATCCCTCATCATCTCCTCATCTTCCATATCCTCCATTGTCCAGGCTCAGCAGCTCCACTCCGGGATGTGCCCAGGCTGATCCGAGTTTCCTCTTTATGGCTGCCCCACACATGACCCACTGAATGCTCCTACACATCCCTGATCAGGATAACTTACCTTGCGATCGTTTCTGGATGGGCCTGTGGGGATACGCGAAGGGTCAAGAATAAGGTCTCGGTCCACGCTGGCCTGAGCCAAAACAGGAGGCACGGAGCAGACAGAGGGAAGGGCGAGAAGGGGGGCGGGGCAAATACAGAAGAAACAGGAGAAGAGGAAGCACGAGTTGGACGGGCCTACGAGGGAGTGGCGCAGCGGGGTGGGGAGATGGCAGCGACAGGAGAAATGCCACCACCCCTAGAAGCCTCGTCAAAAATATCAAGAAATGGAAGTTGAAATCCTGGAGCACGATGCTTTCGGGCACTTGTCAGAAAGCGCGTTCTTCAATGCTGAGAGGGTGGGGTCGGCTTGTTGACAACACCGCGTCCGAGTCAACAGGAATCCGTCAGCACTGGAGTAGCACTGACCCCACAATCACCGAATTCACAAGTCTCCTTTTTTTATTTTCGACGAGGCGTGTAGGATCCACAATCAAGCTGCCTGCGAGGCCGCCTGCACTCGAGGAACCATCAACAACAGAAGCATGATCGTTCCGAGGCCCGCACGGAGTCCTTGCATCGGCGCCGGAGCCCCTTGGCGGCGCCTCCAGGGCCGATATAGGCAGTCCGCGCGCACCTCCGAAAATCTGTATGGTTATGCCATTGGTGGTTCCTCGGTGCACAACGACCGCTGGGCGCACCGCCGCGGGAGGGCCTCTTCGGGTGAGGGCACAGGCCGCGGCCGATGCGGCACGGCAGGGCGTCGGAGGGAGGGGAGGCGGAGGAGGAGGAGGAGGAGAAGGAGGAGGGCGGGGAGACGGCGGCACCGTCGCGTCGGGAACTTCTGCTCCGCGCGCCGCGGCGAGGGCCCCCCGGGGCACGCCGTGTGCCACGCGAGCGCGCAGCGTGCCGCTCCGCTTTCTGCGAGGCGGGAGCTGCGGGGAGGCTCGTGGCGCGGAAGCCTCAGGCTTCAACGTCACGAGCCTCCTCCTCCTCCTCCTCCTCCTCCTCCTCCTCCTCCTCCTCCTCCTCCTCCTCCTCCTCCGCCTCCTCCGCCTCCTCGCGATCCTCCGGGGAGTGAGGACGTGGATACTCCAGATCTCGTGATAAAGGGAGGGGGGGTCTCATTTCGGGGGGGGTCTCTTCCAGGCTATCTTGGAGGGCCTGGGGGGTCTGGGGACGATGTTCTGGAGGGTTCTCCCACGGGGGAGGGCTGAAACGGCTTGTCTTGGAGGGTCCAGACCCCCTCCGTTTCATTACGAAATCTGGAGTAGCGTGTCGCGCCGAGGCGTGGTGGGCCAGAACCGGCGGAGCAACACGCTATCAAAAAGTTCCCGACCGTATTGTGGCACCCCCACCGGCTGCCAATATGGGCCCCCCTGGCAGAGCCGACCGAGCGGCTAGTGCATCCCAAGAGGCCGGACCGCTCGGGCGTCACGACACGTCGCGACAGCACCGTGGCGATCGGTTTTTGTTCGCGTTTTCGGCCTCGTCGGGTGTCGCCAAAGGTGTCCCTGGGCATAGTGTGTCACCAGGATCTTCAGGGAGGCCCGCACAGCCTCTCACGAGGCCCAGATGGCTCCTGGGGCTCCACACTGACGCGAAAAGCTGGGGACACCTTGGGCCAAACACACCCTTGGCAACCCCGTTCTCCAGATAGTATCTTCGGACAAGAACCTGCCCGCGGCGAACACACATCTTAAAAAATCACAGCGTCGGAGGTACGGCCAGCTTGGGGGGATGCTTGAGGTGATCTGGATCAAATGCTACAGGAAGATGGTACGTCAAGAAAGGCGATGGGACGAGGCGGAAAGAGATGAGAGGACGAGTGGAGAAGAGGGGAGGAAGGAGAGGGATACGGCGCAGGATGATGAGGAGGAGCAGCAGAAAGGGGGAGCGAGGAGGAGCAGAAACGCCGCAACCCTCACCAAAGCTATTCTCCCTCATGCCCCCTCCCTCGCCGGGTCCTCCCTCCTCCCTACCCCCCTCCTGGAGGAGCTGGCCTCTGGCGACACCTGGTTCTCGAAGTCCACCAGCGCCGACGCCCACTCCACATCCTGCGGAGGCGCGCACGGGGTGCGGGCGCCAAGGATGTGCACCCTCCCCCCTGATCCCCCCCCCCCTCCCTCCAGCCTCTTCCTCCTCATTCCCCCCTCCTCCCCTCCCTCCCTCCCTCCCTCCCCTCCCTCCCTCCCCTCCTTCCATCCCTCCTCCCTCCCCTCCTCCCTCCCCTCCCTCCTCCCCAGGCTGCCGCCCTCATCCCCCCCCCTCTCCCCTCCCGCCAGCCTCGTCATCCTTCCTCTCCTCCCTCCTGGGAGAGGGGGGGGCGTGAGGGAGGCGGCCGCGGTGTACCTCATATTGGGCCCCGCTCAAGGGGACGGCGCGGTGTGGGGGAGGGGGGGCTTCTCGCGTGACAAGCTTGGGGGGCACAAGATTTATGAGGAATGGAAATGAAACGGCCCTGGATTACAAGTGCGTGGTCTGTACACCTCCTGGAAACTCTCAAAACCGAGAGAGCCGCCTGGAAACCGCACATCACGCAGGGTCTACCCCGCGAGCCCACAGGAGGTTCAGCGCACAGCTCCTCGTAAAGAAGGGTCGGGGCGTTTTCTGCGCCCTTGAATTTAGGGGAAGGACCTGCAACAGCGCGATCCCCCCATCGCATCCACCTAGCAGCCTAGGGAATCCGAACGGGGCGCGAAACACCCTCTCATCAGTCGTATTTGGGTCTCCCGTGGCAGTGCAAGAGAATGTGTGAGAGGGCCCGCATGCAGACGATTGGCACCAGAAAAACGACAACTGCACCGCCTGTCTGGCGATTGTCCGTGACTTGGGTGCGCTCCGAAAACTCTGGGGGGTATTCGTGGGAACGGCTAGTGGCTGTGGCAATTAAGATCGGTCAAAGGGCTCGCAAGCCGGAATAAGCCAGACTGAGCCGAGGATCCAGCCCAATGAAGCCAGATCAAGCAAAATGTAAAACAAATGATCTCATTAAGGCGCTGGGCAGGTTGGGCATCTGGGAGCGGATGGCGGAAATCATAGCTGCTATGTGTATATATATATATATATATATATATATATATATATACATGTATAGTGATCGGCACTGTGTACTGAAAGATGGCGGGGGATTCATCTCGACGACCACAGCGAGCTGGAATCGCTCAAGGGTGCCCGTTCTCTCCCTATTCCTTTATCACTGTGCCATTGATAACATAGTACGTGACAGAGGCGACGCCGTCGAAGAACCAACGTATGTGGTGTGTTCTGATCTGCTGCACGCCGTCGACACGGTGCTTGCCAGCAGCAATACGCGGCTATCAGATTTTTCATCGGGCAGCAATGCAAAAACTGCATGGTGTATCCGACACTGCTATCGAAGAACGTGCACGCCACGGCCTGAAACTAAACTTTCCCCCATGTGACTTACATCCCCCACACACACACACTTCCACTGCCTGGAACTGAACTGGTGCAAAGAATGTGCTGCAGGTGAGACAGAACAGACACAATGGTGTGATGTCTGGCTCGTCGGGGACACCTGCACTAGTGATTGGAAAGCGCACCGAAGCGAGTCCTCCAGCGCACTCTCCAGCTCGGCCACCTTCGGCGGCGATCCCGGGGGGGGGGTGAGAGGGGGCAGGCCTTCCCAGAAGGCGACGGGGCTTCTCAGGGGCCCTCCGGCCTTCTGAGAAGCAGTCCTCCTATTCTTCCTCCTCCTCCTCCTCCTCCTCCTCCTCCTCCTCCTCCTCTTTCACCTCCTCCTCCTCCTCCTCCTCCTCCTTCTCCTCCTTCTCCTCCTCTTTCACCTTCTCCTCCGCCTCCTCCGCCTCCTCCTCCTCCTCCTCCTCCTCCTCCTCCTCCTCTCCTCCTCCTCTCATCATCATCATCATCATCATCATCATCATCATCATCATCATCATCCATCATCATCATCATCAGCATCAGCATCAGCATCAGCATCAGCATCAGCATCAGCATCAGCATCAGCATCAGCATCATCATCATCAGCATCATCATCATCATCACATCATCAACATCATCATCATCATCATCATCATCATCAGCAGCACAGCATCATCATCATCCCCCTCCCCCTCCTCCTCCTCCTCCTCCTCCTCCTCCTCCTCCTCCCTCCTCCTCCTCCTCCTCCTCCTCCTCCTCCTCCTCCTCCTCCTCCTCCTCCTCCTCCTCCTGCTCATCCTCCTTCTCCTCCTCGCCTTTGTCCTCCTCCCTCCTTCCTCGCCCTGGAGAAGCTCTACAGGGCCTGCCGAACCTCAGGCCTCCCGAGCCTGCTGCGAAGGCCCGCCCCCTCTGCGGCTCCCCCCTGCGGCTCGACGCCGACGCCTGCTGCTCCAGGGCGTCGAGGCTGGCGGGGCTCGCCTCCCGGCGCCGCCTGCCGCCGCCGCGCGCGGGCGCGGGCCTCATCGCCGCGCCGCGGGGCGCTCGCGCGCGCGGGTGCGGCGGGCGCGCGGCGGCGGGTGGCGCGGCGGAACGCTCCCTGGCGGTCCCCGCGCGAGCACCGGGAGGCGGAGGCGGCGGACGCGGCGGCGGCAGTGACGACGACGAGGGCGACGACGACGACGACGACGACGACGACGGCGGCGACGACGACGACGACGACGACGACGACGACGGCGACGACGACGGCGACGACGACGACGACGAGGACGACAACGTTGAGGACGACGACGACGACGACGACGACGACGACGACGAGGAGGACGACGACGACGACGACGACGACGACGACGACGACGACGACGACGACGACGACGACGACGACGAGGGGGGATCAATCAACATCGGACTGTGGAATCAGATCGGATAGGAATGCATGCACATCGAACCGGGCTGCACCGGAACGGGGTCGGAGTCGAGATGGCTCGGCTGCGCCAGGATGAGCAAGGATGCTGGGCAGGCATCGGGCCGCATCGGAGAGTCGTACGGTGGGGGCATTGGATATAAGGAAACCTCCGATAAGGAGCCCAGGGTCTGGAAGCCAGTGGAAGTCCAATCGCGGATTGGCAGTGGATATCACCGCCGCCCTCATCAGTCAAGGAACCCTCCAGGGTCTGAAGCCTCCTGGGCACGTTCCTTAACGA